CATTATATATTAATGAGATTATATAAAGATACAGTTATATATTATCACGATATAAAGTGATTGATACGTGATCCCTATTTACAAGGGACGTGATTTATTAAAGAGACATAACTCTTTATAACGTCACACAAACGTCCTGTTAAAACTAAGGGTATTATTGGGATATTTAAAAAAAAAAAACCCTTATATCATATATTTTTTGAACTGAGGGATTTAGTTACGAAGAAAATATTGGGCCCGTATCCCACATCTAATAACGTTTCGTATGAGGGACCTCTAGCATATTAACCCATAATACAATTACGTCTGTAAGTGTAAACTTTGGACAAAAGTTGGAAATTTTGAAATTATTTTCAAAAATTGAAATCAAATCGAAAATCAAAATCTTGGTGTCTTGGTGAAGAATTATTCATAGTGTCTTGGTGAAGAATTTTTGTAAATTTAGTATTTAATTTGTTTTATAGTTACTTTGAATTGTTGAGACTTGAAAACATCGTAGTTAATATCGCGGGACAATACAATTTCTATGCAAACGATATAACTCGGCATATGTATTCAATATACTCAAATATCGGTAGATATTGCTCGATATCGTGATATAGTACAATACGGTATTTACAATATTTATTTTGGTGGTTCAGCATTTGGGGAGTTATTGTGCGATTATCAGCACATTTTGGGGTGATTTATGCGATTTTTTCAGTATAGTTGGGATGATTAGTGGAATTTTCAGCACATGGGGGCGAGTTGTATGATTTTCAGCATAGTTTTTTAAATAATAATTATATGTTTTTTCATTTTCATTTTTTATTCTTAATCAAAACAAAGCAATGATTCACAGAAATTTTACAGTTCTCCAAATCAAAACCAACAATGTGTATATGATATTATATCTATTCGCCATAGTCACATGTGTGGATACGTACAGTATTTGTATACCAAATTATTTGTATTTATTTTCTATTTTTTACTATTATTTATTTAATTTTTCATTTGTCAAATTAATGGGAAAAATACAGTTTTCTTCTCTTAAGTTTGCATCGATTTTACATTTGGTCTCCTATCCTATGTTCACAAAAAAACACATTTGATCCTTTATGTTTTAAAAGCTCAACACTTTTAGTCATTTCAGTCAAATTTCCAATAGCACTAACCGAATCAAGCGTGTTCCATTCACTGACGGACTAAGGCTAAATTGATCGGAACGACCAAAAGTGTTAAATTATTGAAATATAAGGGAGCAAATGTGTTTTTCCTAAACATTGATGACCGAATATGAAATCGATGCAAACTTGGGGGATGAAAAATACATTTTCCCCTCAAATTAATATATGCTCATACTATCATACACATTTAGAAAATGATTTCACAAGCAGTAGCAACATGTGAGTAATGAGTTCATCTCACTAGGCCGCATAGTTCTTCAAAAAACAAAAAAAAATAAAAAATAATAAATAAATAACTCCCATGGTCCAAATTCCATTAAAGAGTTTGATGCTTTTAGTAGGGGAAAAATAGAGTTTACACCCCTCAAGTTTAAACCAATTTCACATTTGGTCCTTCGTGTTCACAAAAAAAATACATTTTATCCCTTATATTTAAGAAAATCAACACTTTTAGTTATTTTCGTTAAAACATTCAAAATCAAACGTGTGCCCATCACTGCCTTAACTAACGGACTAACGGTAAATCGACGGGAATGAAATTAATGAAACCTGAGGGACAAAAATATATTTTTTATGAACACGAGGAACCAAATGTGAAATTGGTGAAAACTTAGGGCGTAAAAACTGTAATTCTCCTTTTTTAAGTACTCATTAGCCTTTTGGCTTTAGCCCAATTTTATCTCAAATTAGATATTGCATTCAAAACCCTTACATTTATTCTAATTACTAAAAGCTCCCGTTTAATATTAATACCATAAAAAAAAGATTTCAATAACTCCATTTTTTAAGCAAACACCTCTTGAAAAGACTCACCATTTAGAGGTTGTGTCGTTAAAAAATACCATAATGTTTTTTTTTTCTTAATATTAATAATATATGAATATTTTTAATAGTTCAATATAACACAAATAATAAAAAATTATATTTATTTAAATGAAAATAAAAGGCCCGAAAATTCATATACTATGCATGATTCAACTGCCCCGTTTATGAAGCGGGGGCCCGGCCCGGGCCCGAATGATTAATGGGATAGGGCAAAAAGAAGACAGCTGTGATAAAGCTGAGGTCACGGACCAATCACGAGCCTCTCAAATCCTTCCTCTTATGATTAGAGAGAGACGGTGAAAAGTTCTGTTCCACTCAGAATTTTATACTTTCTAAATTTGTTGCGGCTTCAACTTTCCCGGCTCGGCTCGGCTATTCATCCCACTAAAATATGATTAATGAAATATTTGCGTAATAGAAGTTATTCATTTTTTCCTATTGAAATTATTAAGATAAAATCCAAAAAATTTTGTGCTACATAAAGAGTATTATTAGTATTTCAATCTAAATTATAAAGACTCCCTTTGTTTCGTTTAATGTCATTTAAATATAAATACATTTCAATTATTAAATATTTTTCATTCTTATTTTAGGGAAACACAAATATTATTTGGCAAAATTACTTTTTATGTGAGTTTTTTTTTATCTTCTCTGACTTGGTTTATTAATTAGAATAAGGTTGGACAAAACTAATTTATTCTCTATTGAATTGTTAAACGGCACTTATTATGAAATTTTTTTTCTATTAAAATGACATTTCATAAGAAATTGAAAGAATAACGAGAGAGACTAATTAGAGATGTTCGAATTATGCTCGTCTCTTACTTTTCATCAATAATCGAATTTGAAAATGAAGAAAATAACAACGAAATTTGTTTTTTTTATTAAAAGAAAAAAGGTAGGAAGATGTCATTGGTATCTATATATAAAATACTATTTCTATTCTACATTAGAAGCTCGATAAGTTAATAATATTGCTTAAATACAATTTCTTTCGATCCCAACTCTGTAAAAATGTACTAATTATTAATTCAATAATTTAATATTTCGTTAAATTAATAGAATTTTATTGATCTCGATTTTCGATTGTATTAATTTAGAGGTTTTACTGTATATTTTTTAATTTCATTAATATTTGTTTTTTTTTCTTACAGTTAAACTTTTATAAATTAATACAATCGAGATCAATAAAATTCTATTAATTTTATGAAATAATTTTATGCGCGTGTTATCATGAACTAGCTGATTAAAGATTAAGTCACATGACAAAATACTAAGACTTGAAAGTGAACAATTGAAAATTTCACAAAATTTTAATAAATTAGCCTATTTTATTTATTTATTATATTTTAGTAAAAAAAAGAAAAAGGAAAATTAAATAATATTGGGGAAATTATAGTTTTCATTCCTCAATTTTGCACCGATTTCACATTTGGCCCCCCATGTTCACGAAAAGTACATTTGGTCCCTCATGTTCAAATAATTTAACACTTTTGGTCATTTCCATCAATTTACTAGTAGTCCGTTAGTTAAGGTAGTGATGGACACACGCTTGATTCCGTTATTATTAACGGGAAATTGACGGAAAGGATTAAAATTATTGAATTTTTTAAACATAAGGGACCAAAATGTATTTTTTATCAACGTGGGAACCAAATGTGAAATCGATGTAAACTTGAGGGATGAAATAAATTTATCAAACCAAACCACCAAATTTAAATTTTCAAAAAAAAAAACGGAGGAGAAAACTCCAGAAAGTAATGAACACAAACCTTGAGAAGGAGATGGAGTTGTCGGCGAAATCGGAGGTGGTGGTGATACTGGAAGAGCTTCCAAAGGATTATTTGCAAAACTGAAGGAAAAAAAAAACAGAAATTCATTAGCACATTAAAATATATATATATTACACACACACAGATACGTATACATACGAATAAATGATCTCCCATGCAATACATAAAAATAAGAAAAGTTAATTACATTAAACCTGATAGGAGTGAAAAGCTGAAACGATCCATTAACTGGAATAGGTCCCGTGAGCTGATTATTTGACAGATCACTGCATATATTAAACATGTAAATTAATATCGACACATAAAAAAGAAGAAAAGAAAACTATGATTTATCGAATTAATTCTTACAGGACTTGAAGGGTATTGATGGTTGTCAGAGTTAGGGGAATTCGTCCACTCAACGTGTTATTATTAAGCCGCCTACATAGTTCAAGAATCACTGTTTTAATAGTACAATAAATAACTAGGAAAATACAGTATTAGAGAAAGTTGTTCAAATAGAAACCCGTACAAGAAACGTAATATTTTAGGCCTGCCCAAGGTGTCG